CAAGCCGCGCCCCTCCCTTTAGGCCCCGCCCACCCGCTTCAAGCCACGCCCCGACTTCAAGTGGACGTTCCCCCCTCATATCGCGCCCGCTCCCTTTAAGCCCCGCCCTCTCCGCCTAGGCCACGCCCCTGCGGCTGAGGCCACGCCTCCGTCGCCAATGCCACGCCCCCGCGGCCGAGGCCACGCCTTCTCCGCTGAGGCCACGCCCCTGCCGCGAGGCGCGGGGCAGCCCCGGGGCTCCGCGCCACCCCCCGGGCCCCGGCAGCGCCTCCCGCCCGGCCCTTCCCGGCCCTTCCCGGCCCTTCCCGGCCATTCCCGGCCATTCCCGCCCCTCGCTTGGCCCCTGGCCCCAGGGCAAATATTTGCCCGGGTCCTGACCCCGCCGTGGGGCCGCCCCACTGCGCAGGCCCCGGGGCAGGCGGCCGCGGGCACTGGGGACGATGTGGGCCGCGCTGGGGCTGCTGCTCGGCCTGGCCGGCGGCCTGGGCTCAGGTAGGGCCCGCCGTGGGGCCGGCGGCCGTGGGGCGGCCCCCTGCCCTCCGCTGGCTGCCCCCCACGGGGGCTCGGGGGAGGTGAGAGGGCTGCGGTGGGTGCTGAGCGCCCCGTGGGGTGACAGTGCTCCGTGGGGCACTGAACCCCGTGCTCCGTGGGGCAGGGGGCCCAGTGCTCCGTGGGGTAGGTGTCTCCATGGGGCAGGATCCTGGTGCTCCATGGGGCAACAACCATACTGTGCTCCATGGGGCAGGGATCCCAGTGCTGCATGGGGTAGGTATCTCCATGGGGCAGGATCCTGGTGCTCCATGGGGGACAGCCATCCTGTGCTCCATGGGGCAGGGGTCCCAGTGCTCCGTGGGGCAGGTGTCTCCATGGGGCAGGATCCCAAGAACCCTCTGCTCCATGGGGCTATGATCTATGCAACAGATTTTTTTCTCCTCCATGGGACAAGGATCCTCATGCCCCATGGGACAGGGATTCCCACGCTCCGTGGGGCAGGGGGTCCTGTGCTCCGTGGGGCAAGGGTCCCACTGCTCCATGGCACAGTGATCCTGCTCCATGGGGCAGGAATCCTCGTGCTCCGGGAGACAACGGCTCCGTGCTATGTGGTGGAGAGATCCCCATGCTCCATGGGCTCCATGGGCCAGGGTTCCTGTGGGGCAGGAGTCCCCATGCTCCGTGGGGCAGAGGTAGCCTTGCTCCATGGGGCGAGGGTATCCTTGCTCCGTGGGGCAGGGCTCCCCATTCTCCACGGGGCCGGAATCCTCTGCTCCATGTTCCGTGGGACGGATCCTTTCCCCCACGGCACGAGGCTCTCGGTGCTCCACGGGGCCCGGGTCTCCCCCCCGCGGCGCTCCACAGGGATGTGGCTCCCGTGCTCCAGGGCGCGTGGGGCGGCGGGTGCCTCGCTCCGCGCGCCGCCGCTCAGCCCCGCGC